TGGCGTGGAAGGGACAATAATGGCGTGGAAGGGACAATAATGGCGTGGAAGGGACAATAATGGGTATAGAAGGGAAGGGAATAATGGCGTGGAAGGGACAATAATGGCATGGAAGGGACAATAATGGCGTGGAAGGGACAATAATGGCGTGGAAGGGACAATAATGGTATAGAAGGGACAATAATGGCGTGGAAGGGACAATAATGGTATAGAAGGACAATAATGGCGTGGAAGGGACAATAATGGCGTGGAAGGGACAATAATGGTGTGGAAGGGACAATAATGGCGTGGAAGGGACAATAATTGTATAGAAGGGACAATAATGGCGTGGAAGGGACAATAATTTTATAGAAGGGACAATAATGGCGTGGAAGGGACAATAATGGCGTGGAAGGGACAATAATTGTATAGAAGGGACAATAATGGCGTGGAAGGGACAATAATTTTATAGAAGGGACAATAATGGCGTGGAAGGGACAATAATGGTATAGAAGGGACAATAATGGCGTGGAAGGGACAATAATGGCGTGGAAGGGACAATAATGGCGTGGAAGGGACAATAATGGTATAGAAGGGACAATAATGGCGTGGAAGGGACAATAATGGTATAGAAGGGACAATAATGGCGTGGAAGGGACAATAATGGCGTGGAAGGGACAATAATGGTGTGGAAGGGACAATAATGGTGTGGAAGGGACAATAATGGCGTGGAAGGGACAATAATTGGTATAGAAGGGGACAATAATGGCGTGGAAGGGACAATAATTTTATAGAAGGGACAATAATGGCGTGGAAGGGACAATAATGGCGTGGAAGGGACAATAATTGTATAGAAGGGACAATAATGGCGTGGAAGGGACAATAATTTTATAGAAGGGACAATAATGGCGTGGAAGGGACAATAATGTTATAGAAGGGACAATAATGTTATAGAAGGGACAATAATGGCGTGGAAGGGACAATAATGGCGTGGAAGGGACAATAATGGTGTGGAAGGGACAATAATGGCGTGGAAGGGACAATAATGGCGTGGAGAAGGGGACAATAATGGCGTGGAGGGGACAATAATGGCGTGGAAGGGACAATAATGGCGTGGAAGGGACAATAATGGCGTGGAAGGGACAATAATTGTATAGAAGGGACAATAATGGCGTGGAAGGGACAATAATTGTATATAGAAGGGACAATAATGGCGTGGAAGGGACAATAATGGTATAGACAGGGACAATAATGGCGTGGGAAGGGACAATAATGGCGTGGAAGGGACAATAATTTTTAGAAGGGACAATAATGGCGTGGAAGGGACAATAATGGCGTGGAAGGGACAATAATGGCGTGGAAGGACAATAATGGCGTGGAAGGGACAATAATGGGTGGAAGGGACAATAATGGCGTGGAAGGGACAATAATGGTATGGAAGGGACAATAATGGTATGGAAGGGACAATAATGGCGTGGAAGGGACAATAATGGCGTGGAAGGGACAATAATGGCGTGGAAAGGGACAATAATGGCGTGGAAGGGACAATAATGGCGTGGAAGGGACAATAATGGCGTGTGGAAGGGACAATAATGGTATGGAAGGGACAATAATGGTATGTGGGGGACAATAATGGCGTGGAAGGGACAATAATGGCGTGGAGGGGACAATAATGGCGTGGAAGGGACAATAATGGTGTGGAAGGGGACAATAATGGCGTGGATGAAGGGACAATAATGGCGTGGAAGGGACAATAATGGCGTGGAAGGGACAATAATGGCGTGGAAGGGACAATAATGGCGTATAGGAAGGGACAATAATGGTGTGGAAGGGACAATAATGGCGTGGAAGGGACAATAATGGCGTGGAAGGGACAATAATGGCGTGGAAGGGACAATAATAGGGCGGGAAGAGACAATAATGGCGTGGAAGGGACAATAATGGTGTGGAAAGGGGACAATAATGGCGTGGAAGGGACAATAATGGCATGGAAGGGACAATAATGGCGTGGAAGGGACAATAATGGCGTGGAAGGGACAATAATGGCGTGGAAGGGACAATAATGGCGTGGAAGGGACATTAATGGAAGGGATGATAAAGGTATAAAAAGTGATAATAGTAAAGAAGTGACCACAACAATGTAGAAGTGACTATCACAGTATACGGTATATAACTGACGCCCTCTTTCCTAAAGTGGTTGTTCTCAGGAAAGCCCGCGTTGCGGGAAAAATCCGCCATCTTGGTGGAACATGTTCGGAGTTAGCGCACAAATAAAGCATAAAATGCGATAAATAGAAAGTCATTTTACAGAGTGATCAGAAAAAGAACACAGCGAGCGGGGGATGGGGGGGAAGACGAGGGGAAAAGCATCTTTTAACATCAAAGGGATTTTTCAAAGGATGACTTGAAGTGGCTGAACAATTTATGAGACAGCGATAAACTTCGTCTCCGAGCAGCAATAAATTATTCACTACAAAAACATACATACACATGTCACATATTATAAAACGATACCGCTCTGGAGGAGGGTGGGGGACTCTTTAAAGACTTTGTCGTACTTTGATAGAGTTTTTGTAGCTGAAGTCTGTGACTGGCATCATGGGCGCTCCTCCAACAAGGGCCATGGAGGCCTCCAGTGCCTGAGGAACTACGAATCCCAGCAGTCCCCGCCATCCTTCTTGTGTGGCTGTGAGGACCGCGCTTCCGGATCTTGTGGGGTGACCATCCCCAGCTGGTCATGGAGATGGCAGGACATAGGGGTCACAATACACCCAACATCTGCCTCAGTGTCCACCCATCTAGTCTAGGTGAACTTACCCCCAGTATAAGGTGGTCTGGGTATGTCTGACTGGTGGTAGGCTGGTGGCTGGGAATTAAGGATAGGGGGCTCCAGGGGGGCAGCATGTCAGAATTGTGGATTTGCTAGGAGCATACAAGTTTGGAGAAAGAACAGAAAGGTAGAAGACAAGGGCTAGAGGTGATATGAAGTCCTTAATTAGTGGTTCTCAAAGACGGGGCTGTGGTCCACCTTCAGGCCACGGCCTCCCTCCCCGCAGGCCTCCAGCCAGCTGCTGATCCCCTAACCTCCCACAGTACCTCCCAGCTTCCATACTGCCAGTTAACCTCCCATAGTAGCCTTCAGTGCTCATCAACTTCCCACAGTGTCTCTATTCCCCCTGAGAGCCCTAAGCTCCCACAGTGCCCCCCCATCTTGCTGCAGAGTCTCCAGCTCCCCATAGGCTCCAACAGTGTCTCACAGTGCCTCTCAGATTCCATAGGGGCCGCTTAACCTCCCATTGTGACCTGCAGTTCTCCCCAACTTCCTAAAGCATTCCCAGGTCTCCTGAGAGCGCTAAGCCCTCACAGTGCTCCCTAGCTTGCTTCAGCATCTCCAGCTCCCCATAGTCTTTAACAGTGTCCCACAGTGCCTCTCAGCTTCCATAGCGGCCCTAACCTCCCATAGTGTCCTGCAGTGTTCTTTAATTTCCCACAGTGAGAGTCCCCAGCCCCATGCAGTGCCCCCCAACACCAAGCTCCATTCAGAGCTTCAATCAGTGTCCACAGTGCCCCCAGTCCCTGCACTCTTGTCATGTACGGTGGCTCTGGAAACCTCCATCCTCCTAGAGAGACCTCTAGTCCTCTCTTGCAAAGTTGTCCCCACCTGTCCCCACACTACCTTGATAAACCTCATCCCCTACAGGGCCAACAAGTCTGCTGCAGTGTCTTCCAACCACCTCTAGAACCATCCACCGACAAGAGACACCCAGCCCCATTTAGAGCCTCCAGCCCCCCAAAGTCTCCACCAGTGTCCCATAGTGCCCTCTATTCCCTACAATGCACGCCAGTCACACACAGTACCCTTGTAAAGCCCCAGCCTCCTGGAGACCTGCAGCCCCCTGCTGGCACAGTTGTTCCCAGCTCTCTCAAGAAACCTCATCCCTTACAGGGCCACCAAGTCTGTTGCTGTGTCCCCTAACCCCCTATAGAAGGTTTTGGAGGAATCCCCTGGGCTCTGGTCTCAGTGAGGTTGAGAATCCCTGAAACAGATGATCCCATGGTCGTATGACTCCACGTCAGGACCTGAAGGTCCAAAGAAACCACATCCCTGGAGACGGGGAGCTCTGGTCTGGTCCCCCAAGATTTGTTGGCTGTATGTTTTCTGAACATCTAAACAAACCATTTTTGGATCTACAATACAAAGTCTCCTGAATTTTTTTTCCCTACAACACCCCCCTCCCCCCCCCCCCCCTTCAATGTCACCAGAGGAGGCCAACAGTCTGCTGGGCATCATATAGAGACCTCTAAACAAAATCCCCCCTATAGTACTTAACGCAAAACCTCCACAGGTCTTCCAAATACAACAGCACACACCAGAAAATAAATCCCCACCCCAAAGAATATTCCAGAGTATCCTCCATAATTTAAAGAGAACCTGTCAGTGGAATTGACACCACAGTCTGCCATGGGAGGGGACAGAGGGACCGGCGTGGTGTCACTACATATGAATGCCTTTTGTAGTCTCCTCCATTATACCGTACTGGAGTTCCAGAACCCCGGAGACGTCCAGTCTGCAAATACTGATTGGGCTCCGAGATGAGACAAATGAGACAAAGTACAAAGTCCAGCAAACAATCAGGATCCACAAATATGGGGTCAGACCGTTATAAGATGGATTCTGATTGGTCCTTGGAGGGACGTTACTGGGACCTGTTACCAGGTTTACTTTTGAACTTCCTAGTATTCCGAGAGATGAGGAAAATGTCTATTTCATGAACTCAGGAGAGAGCGGGTCACGTTCTCTCCATAGTTTGGGGACACTGAGATTTCTATAGATATACAGTGCAGGAAATGTGTGTTTGCTCCCCCCTGATGGTGAATGTTCGCCCCTCACACAGAAATGATCGGTCTAACAATGGAATGTTCGCCCCTCATCACACAGAAATGATCAGTCTAACAATGGAATGTTCGCCCCTCACACACAGAAATGATCAGTCTAACAATGGAACAATGTTGTTCGCCCCTCACACAGAAATGATCGGTCTAACAATGGAATGTTCGCCCCCTCACACAGAAACGATCGGTCTAACAATGGAATGTTCGCCCCTCACACAGAAATGATCGGTCTAACAATGGAATGTTCGCCCCTCACAACAGAAATGATCGGTCTAACAATGGAATGTTCGCCCCCCATCACACAGAAATGATCGGCTCTAACAATGGAATGTTCGCACCCTCACACAGAAATGATCGGTCTAACAATGGAATGTTCGCCCCTCACACAGAAATGATCGGTCTAACAATGGAATGTTCGGTGTAACACTGAGAGACAGAATACAACAACAAATTCAGCAGAAATGCGTCTAACAAATGATGACTGATCTGCATGTACATGAGGGAAAGAAGGATTTGATCCCCTATCATTCAGCAGGATTTCTGGCTCCCAGGTGTCTCTCATACAGGTAACAAGCTGAGATTAGAAGCAGTCTCTTAAAGGGAGTGCTGCTAATCTCATTGTGTTACCTGAATAAAAGACACCTGTCCACAGGAGCCATCAAACCATCAGATTCCAAACTCTCCCACCATGGCAAAGACCAAAGAGCTGTCCAAGGATGTCAGGGACAAGATGGTAGACCTACCCAAGGCTGGACTGGGCTACCAAACTATGGCCAAGCAGCTTGGTGAGAAGGTGACAACAGTTGGTGCAATCATTCACAAATGGAAGAAACACAAAACAAGTGTCAGTCTCCCTAGGTCTGGTGCACCATGCAAGATGTCAGATGAGACCAAAATCCAGCTCTTTGGCATCAACTCAACTCGCCGTGTTTGGAGGAGGAGAAATGCTGCCTATAACCCCAAGAACACCATCCCAACTGTGAAACATGGTGGTGGAAACATTCTGCTTTGGGGGGTGTTTTTCTGCTAAGGGGACAGGACAACTGCACTGCATCAAAGGGACGATGGACGGGGCAATGTACCATTAAATCTTGGGTGAGAAACCTTCTTCCCTCAGCCAGGGCATTGAAAATGGGTGGTGGATGGTGTGTTCCAGCATGACAATGACCCAAAACACACGGCCAAGGCAACAAAGGAGCGGCTCAAGATTTCAGTAGATTTATAACACAGGAAAGGCTCCGCCTGCTTCTTACCGGGTTGGTGTGGAGGAGATCACCGGATCCTTCTTTAATGACGTCTTCATAGCCTCCTCAGATCCCGGTCCCCTAACCTCCAGTTCTCCCAGGACCCAGTCCGGTAATCCCCCAGAGCCAGCGCCGGGGAGACGGGCAGAAATGGGATCATCGAAGTAGATGGACTGTGGAGAGAGACACCCATCAGACAGATCACACTTCATTATTATTATTATAGAGGATTACAGATCACCGGCAGTCTGCACAGCTCTGTACATTATACAGGGAGTCAGAAGGAGTCTTCTCTGCAGACAGCAACCACCAACTGACAGCTAAGTGGGAGGTCTGCCAGGTACAATCACATGAGCAGTCCCAGTGCTGTGATAGGTGAAATGTGGCATCCCCTGCATTCCTACAGACGTGTGGGCAGTATAGCACCACATACAAGAGGTCCATTGTAGTGGACGGAAATTCTATCTCAGTCCTGGTAATGAAATGTGTGATAACTAATGTTACAGCTTGTCACCAGTCTTCGTGGGCAGGTTTGGAGTTTATTAAATAAAATGCTAAGTTTCGATGGGCAGAGGGGACACTTGGGGGCAGAATTCTTAGGAGTGGAAATACCATGTAGAGTATTTTGCAAACGTTTTAGGCAGGGTGGGGAAAATGCTGTAAATAAAGAATGCTTTCAGAAATCAAAGTGTTAAAAGTTTATTTTTATCAATGAAGAAAATGGAAAGTAAATGAGTAGAGAAATCCAAATCCAAACAATATTTGGTGTCCCCCCCCTTTGTCTTCTTCTAGGTAGACTTGCACCCAGTGAAGGAAGTCGGCAGGTAGGTTGTACTATGTACATCTTGCAGAACTAAGCCCAGATCTTCTGTGGATGTGGGAATATTGTGCTGCCATTGTTCTGCACCCCATTTCATATGTTTTCCAGCATAGATGAGTCAGTTAGCCTTGTTTCCACATCATATGCAGGAAAACATAGGAACTGCGAGGCAGAAAAATGGCAGCAGGTGCTCTGGAATTATGTCAAAATGTAATATATTTGCCTGCAGCAGGAGGCAGTTATTTTTCAAGGGAAGGGCTGGAGATCGGTACAATGAGTGTCTGCAGCCAACTGTGAAGCATGTTAGAGGTTCCTTGCAAGTATGGGGCTACAATTCTGCAAATGGAGTTGGGGATTTGGTCAGGATCAGTGGTGTCCTCAATGTTGAGAGATACAGGCAGATATTTCTCCATTATGCCATAACATCAGGGAGGTGTGTGATTGGCCCCAAATGTATCCTGCAGCAGGACAACCACCCCAAACATCCAGCCAATGTCATTAAGAACTATCTTCAATGTAAAGAACAAGGAATCCTGGAAGTGATGGTTTGGCCCCCACAGAGCCCTGATCTCACCATCATGGAGTCTGTCTGGGATGACATGAAGGGACAGAAGGATTGGAGGCGGCCGACATCCATAGAAGATCTGGTATTAGTTCTCCAAGATGGACAGAGAACAACCTACCTGCCGACTTCCTTCACTGGGTGCAAGTCTACCTAGAAGAGGCAAAGGAGAAGGGGGGGGGGGGAATCCACACCAAATATTGATAAGATTCGGATTTCTCGTCTCTTCATTTACTCCATTTTGTTAATTGATAAAAAAAATAAACTGTTAACACTTCGATTTCTAAAAGCATTCATTTACAGCATTAGCACCACACCTGCCTAAAATTTTTGCACAGTACTGTAGGTGGGCAGAGGTCTCCGTGTGACATTCCATGTAGGTAGGTGGAGGTCTCAGGCATACAACATACGTTCAGGGGTTTTGTGAGGGTGACATACCATGTACGATCAGAGTGACTTACCATGTAGGTGGGCAGAGGTTTCAGGGTGCCATCCTCTGGCTGACTAGTGAAGGGCCCCTCCAGTTCACCCCGTTTTAGCATGTGGAGGAGAAGTTTGGCATACAGGTTCCTGTTCTTCCTGCCAGCAATCCCTGTTCCTGCCCCGGAGGGGTCACACAGCTTCTTGATCCACAAGGCACATCGCTGGCGCTCTGAAGAACAGAAAGAATCATTACTGAGGGCTCCTCCAGGGATTAGGAGTCTTTCAACACACGTATTCACACAACAATCTAATACATTCCAGGCCAGGCTGTACCTTCCCCATCAGTGTTTCATAGATTGCTCTGAATTTTGTTTTCAAATATCAGAAAAAATCCATCGATAAAACTTCTCCAGCTGAGGTCCCATGGAACTTATAATGAGAGAGTGACATTAACAAGTCCCCCATCACAGCGATGTCCCCACCATCCTCCAGCCAACCTTCCCCATAGGTCAGAGCACTGGAAGTCCTCAATCACAATGACGTCCCCACCATCCTTCAGCCAACCTTCCCATAGGTCACAGCACTGGAAGTCCTCCATCACAGAGATGCCCCCACCATCCTCCACCAACCTTCCCATAGGTCAGAGCACTGGAAGTCCTCCATCACAATGATGTCCCCATGATCCTCCACACAACCTTCCCATTGGTCACAGAACTGGAAGTCCCCCATCACAGCGATGTCCCCACCATCCTCCAGCCAACCTTCCCATAGGTCAGAGCACTGGAAGTCCTCCATCACAATGACGTCCCCACCATCCTTCAGCCAACCTTCCCATAGGTCAGAGCACTGGAAGTCCTCCATCACAGCGATGTCCCCACCATCCTCCAGCCAACCTTCCCATAGGTCAGAGCACTGGAAGTCCTCCATCACAATGACGTCCCCACCATCCTTCAGCCAACCTTCCCATAGGTCAGAGCACTGGAAGTCCTCCATCAGAGAGATGCCCCCACCATCCTCCACCCAACCTTCCCATAGGTCAGAGCACTGGAAGTCCTCCATCACAATGACGTCCCCACCATCCTTCAGCCAACCTTCCCATAGGTCAGAGCACTGGAAGTCCTCCATCAGAGAGATGCCCCCACCATCCTCCACCCAACCTTCCCATAGGTCAGGAGCACTGGAAGTCCTCCATCACAATGATGTCCCCATGATCCTCCACCCAACCTTCCCATTGGTCACAGAACTGGAAGTCCCCCATCACAGAGATGCCCCCACCATCTTCCACCCAAACTTCCCTTAGGTCACAGAACTGGAAGTCCTCCATCACAGAGATGCTCCCACCATCCACCACCCAACCTTCCCTTAGGTCACAGCACTGGACGTCCTCTATCACAATGATGCCCCCACCATCCTCCACCCAACCTTCCCATAGGTCACAGCACTGGACATCCTCCATCACAATGATGCCCCCACCATCCTCCACCCAACCTTCCCATATGTCACAGCACTGGACGTCCTCCATCAGAGAGATGCCCCCACCATCCTCCACCCAACCTTCCCATAGGTCACAGCACTGGACGTCCTCTATCACAATGATGTCCCCACCATCCTCCACCCAACCTTCCCATAGGTCACAGCACTGGAAGTCCTCCATCACAATGATGCCCCCCACCATCCTCCACCCAACCTTCCCATAGGTCACAGCACTGGACGTCCTCCATCAGAGAGATGCCCCCACCATCCTCCACCCAACCTTCCCATAGGTCACAGCACTGGACGTCCTCTATCACAATGATGCCCCCACCATCCTCCACCCAACCTTCTCATAGGTCACAGCACTGGACGTCCTCCATCAGAGAGATGCCCCCACCATCCTCCACCCAACCATCCCATAGGTCAGAGCACTGGAAGTCCTCCATCACAATGATGTCCCCACCATCCTCCACCCAACCTTCCCATAGGTCACAGCACTGGACGTCCTCTATCACAATGATGCCCCACCATCCTCCACCCAACCTTCTCATAGGTCACAGCACTGGACGTCCTCCATCAGAGAGATGCCCCCACCATCCTTTACCCAACCATCCCATAGGTCACAGAACTGGAAGTCCTCCATCAGAGAGATGCCAACACCATCCTCCACCCAACCATCCCATAGGTCACAGAACTGGAAGTCCTCCATCACAGAGATGCCCCCACCATCCTCCACCCAACCTTCCCATAGGTCACAGCACTGGACGTCCTCCATCACAATGATGTACATCATCATGGCAGAAAATAGGTAACAGAACTACTGTGACAGACAGCACATTTCCCAGGATGAGATATTCAGGTGTCGGGGTTCTAATGGCGGGACAGACAGCACATTTCCCAGCATGAGATATTCAGGTGTCGGGGTTCTAATGGCGGGACGGACAGCACATTTCCCAGGATGAGATATTCAGGTGTCGGGGTTTTCTAATGGCGGGACGGACAGCACATTTCCCAGGATGAGATATTCAGGTGTCGGGGTTCTAATGGCGGGA